GGACGGAGCCGTGGCCGACCGTGCCGTGGGCTTGGGTGGGCCCCGTTCTTCTCGTTGCGGCTGCCTGTGTGCTGTGCGCACGGCAGTTTCTTGCGGAGCAGCGTGGATGACGCTGCTTCTGCGTGCGTTGTGCGGCTGACTCCTTCTCCACGTTTCTTCACCCTCGCACGAGGGGGCGTCGTCCGTCATCCGCCCGTGCTGTTTGCTGCCATTCTCAGTACTTCTGCATGGCGGCTTTGCTGCTTGCGGTCTCTGCGTACTGCATGGCTCTGTGGTACGTGGAGGACCACCACTGGCAGGAGCTGCGCGAGCCGCGGCGTGGAGGGCTGGAGGCGCTGCTGCGCGATGACGAGGAGAGCGCCGAAGAGACGCAGAAGCCCCACAACGTGACTTTATCGTCGTATGCCTCAGGCACCACCGTTGCGTCGTCGTACCAACCACCTGCACCGCCGTTGCAACCCATGGCCGGTGACACCCGCTCAGACGCGCTGAGCCTGCTGGACCGTGCATCCAGTGCGAGCCGTATGACTGATTACGCTGCCATGTGACGTGTAACACGCGGAATTAGTAAGTATGCGGTGATGGTTGATATTAGGGAAGGATGCGGGGCCACTTCTGCAATGCGCAGCACAGCCATCGATTGTTCACTGCACTGGCAGCCTCGCTGTTCATTTTTCTCTTTTTTGGCTTGCCTCTATTTTTTGCTGAAATGTACATTTTTTTTTATTATTGCGTGATGGAGGTCACTTTGTGCTGTCACACTGTGTGGATGGCTCTCTTGTTGTGGTTGCGCAGTCATGTCTGTGCGTATTTTCCTTTTTTTTCTCTTTCTCTCTTTATTCTATTTCCTTTTTTTTTTCTTTTTGATTGGTGGTTAGTGTTCAGCTTTTAACTCAATCCAACTGCGAAGACAAGGAGAAACAATGCCTGAAAAGCGCAAGAGAGTGCACGGGGATGACAATGCCGAGAGTCAAGCGTCTGCTGTGCCGCAGGGAGATCGTCAGACGAGAGCGAGGCAGGAGTCCCATGGCGACACGGAACAACCCGCTGCGGCCCACATAAGAGTGGAGGAAACGCGGCAACCGCAGTGGACTCTTGACAGTCGGCTGGATGAAGTGCTGCTGGAGGGAAAGGAACGCATCACCAACATGAGGCTGAATGACTTCCTTCGGAATTATTTTGACGGCAGGGGCGTTGAGGAATTCAATGAGAACGTCTACATGAAGGACTTTTGGAGTAGCCCCAATGACTTCATCCAAGACGAAGTGTTATTGAGGACAATAAATGCATCGCCGCCATATCAAGAGCTGAAAAAAGAGCGTGAGGAGTTTTACATGCTATTGGGGGCTTCAAATAAGCTTAAAAAAGAATATATTGTCACTCTCAGGCAATGGAGGGACTTTAAAAGAAAGGATACGGTCACTCCTCTTGCAAGGGCACAAATAAACACAGCCTACTCTTATGTACTGAGAGAAGAGAGGCGGAAGGCGGAAGAAAGGGAAAGGCGAGAACGACAAGAACTGGGGATTGACTTTTCCACCAGGATTAAAGATGCGGTGTTTAAAGGAAGGGTTCGCGTGGATAAAATGAAGCTGAATGATTTTCTTGCGATGGAATTGGACGGCAGGGGCGCTCTGGACGCCAATCGGGATGTCTTGCTGAAGGGGTTTTTTAAGAACCCCAAGAAGTATATTTGCGATGCGGGAGTATTGGACGAAATGCAGGCATCCGATCGTTACAAGAGGATGGAGGGGGCTGTACGGGATGAAATGGATATGGAAGGGGATGTACACAACCTTTACGAGAAAGGTGTGGACAATCTACTGAATTGGTTGGTGGCTACTGCGGAGGTAAAGGCAAATGTTCAAGAAATCACTAAAAGGTTCTTGGATGCGGCCGCCGAGGAAGCGAGGAACCCAAAGAAGTCGAGTGCACCGATATACCTGGAGGGATGCTACGAGTCTGTGTACAATGCGGGGTGGCACCGTGTCGTGGAAGTTCCTGACGGCGAGGGGACGGGAATGGAGGTGGAGGAGGGGGAACCACCGCAGTCATGGACGTACAAGGCAGTTGGCGACACTCTCGAAAAGGATGACGGTGTGCAGCAATCCGGTGCACCGCGTCCCAGGCTGATGGTGCTCACCTCGGACAAGGGATGGCCGTACTCGTGGGAGGAGGATGAATCCACTTGTGACTGTCATGTGAACTGTGAGGTGGAGCGAGTGTGGCAGATTGTCAGGAATGATCTAACCGAATTGCTCGGCCCTGACCCTGGGGCCTACTTTGAGCCTAGGCGACATGTGTTGATTGGGACGCCCGGGATCGGGAAGTCGATGGGTGCCGGCTCGTACCTCCTCTACCGGCTGCTGCACTGCGATGCCAGGAAACTCCATTTGGTTATCTACAGTTTTGGTGGAGATACGACGTACGTGTTTGACAAGACCATCAAGGCGGTGACAAGATACGTGGGTGGAGGAGCATCCAAGGAATGTTTGCGTGATTTATGGGGTTGTGGGTTGAAGGGGTATGTTATTTACGATGTGACAAGGCAAGGGACACCGCCAGCGAAATATTTTTTGCCTGGCAGCGGATGGGGCATGATTGTGGTGTCATCGCCAAACGTGGGCAAATATGATAAATGGGAGAAACAAGAAGGAGCCGCGCGAATCATCATGAATTGCCCCGCCGAGATGGATGTGAAGGCGATGTGTGCATGGATGAAGCGTGACGAGACTGCGGAGAAACAGGCGGAATGCTGGAAGATGGTCAAAGAACGCATGGATAACGTGGGGCCGATTCCACGTTACATCTTTGATGCGAATGAGTTCATTGCACACTCTGCTGCCATTGAGGATGCCTTGGATGGGATCAATTCCCGGGATGGTGAAGAGCACTTTACACATGGGGGAGTGAGACTGTGGGACTCTGAGGATCCGTCTCAAAAGCTCGTGAGGGTTGTCCGAACAAGAGGAGAAGTCGGTGCTGAGGTATTTCTTAACGCACCGATATCTTTTTGCCTCGGGCGTCGAATACCGTACTATTTTGGGAAACGTGATGAGTGAGAAGGATGTATATATATATTTCTGTTGCTAGTATTGGGGAAGAGGAATACTCTTTTGTCTGAATGTATGGGAGAGTTTGGATTGCGCGCATTAATGTTTTGGGGAGATTTTCGGTGCATTATTAGAGGACGTTAAGAAGCTGAGGCCACCAGCACGCAGTGGAGGACAGTGCGCGGTGCTGGAGGCAAATTCTGAGGGGCACCGCGCCGAGTCTTATGTGGAGTGGTTGCAATGGAATACCATACAAATACTAATATAAAGCATCGGCTGCTGTGCATACCGGCGGGTGCAGGCTTTCCGCTGGTGGACGCCTTTTTTTCTTTGTGAAGTTACCGTGGAAGACGCTGTTTGGGCCGCGGATGGCTACGGCGGGTGGGCACCACACCACCGCCAGCACTGTGAGGCAGTTCACTGAGTGCCTGGTGGCTTATTTTAATGGTTGGGGGGAATTATCCCGAGACATGTCGTGGGAGATTATTTATGTGCAGCGCGCAGACAGCACGCCGATGAATGACTGGCAGAGATGTGATGTCGTCAATTCCGATAATGTGAGCGACGATGAAGGCCGTGAAATAGCGGCATTCTGGAAGGAAGAGGTGCGCCCGTACCAAGTGTCAATATCGTCCGGAGGATTTAGAAGAGACGAAGCACTCCGAAGTGTGGAAGAACCGTCGAAGTAGGAAAAAAAATTAGGGAATGAAAGGGGCAATTTTGTTTGTGGGAAAGAAATATTGTGGGGGTTATATATTTTTGGATACTTTTGTGTGTGCATACGGTGCAGGTGCACCAGCACCAGGTGACAGTTACAAAAAGATGTCAAAACTGACCAAAGCTATCGAACATAACAGTGACAGAAGAAATTAGGGAGGGATTGGGGTTGTTTGGTTTCTGGTGAAAAAAATTGGGTGATTTCTATATGGTATGTTGATTGTGTGTGTGCACAAGAGGCATAATTGGAGAATTGCCCCGGTATGAGGGAATCATTGTGGCTGGCGGTGTCGCAGTACCACTGCATTTTCCATTTTTTTCTATTGTGTTCTAATGCCCATCACTAACAGAAGCATTTTTAAGGGATGGACGAAGGATAAGTTCTATTGGGGAAATGGTGCATTCCGTGTGGCTGCATGGAGTGAGACACCGCGTCATTGATGGATGAGGGCCCCGCTTCCGCGTGTGGGTGGATGGGAGAGCTCACTTCGTGTGCGCTGTGTGTTGGCTGCGGGGCTATGGCCGTATCCCGTTGGTCGTGGGATTGAACTGGAGGCAGTGGAGCTGTGTCTCTTCTCATCTTCCATTGTGGGTGACTGCTTGCGGCGTGTGTGCGCGTTTTTTGTGTGGAGGGCCGAATCCTCTCACCCGCGGACTGACGGCACTGCGATGGTGTGTGTGTGTGTGAGGGCTGGTGTGGAGTTGTTGGCCAGGGCGAGGGTGTTGGCGGTGCTTTTTCCGCGTGTCGTTTTTTTTTTTTGTGTTGTGCAGCTTCTTACTTTTTTCCCTGTCATCATCTCCTCCTGTGTTCCTGCGTTGAGTGGCCGCATGCTCACGGGCCATGTTGATTGTGAGTGCCTCTTGACGGCGTCCATTCATTTCTCTCTCTCTCTCTCTCTCTGCCTGCCTTTACCTGTTGGGTGCGGTTTCTGCGAGAGGGTCGGTGCTCTCCTCGCACCTCGTGTGTGTGTGTTGCTGCCTTTTTCTGTGGGCGATGGTCCTCCGTGCTGTCCCTTCCGGATTGTCTTGTGTCCCGCTCTCTGCGTGGGTGCTCTGCTCTGCTCCCCGCTGGCGTGTCTGATGTATTGCCGCTGTTGTTCTTCTCCGCCTCATGCACACGGACACGCTAGGAAAGAAAGCAAACAAGCGCTAAACGCTACTGTGAAATTCGAAGGCTCAGAAAGGACCAACAACAGCACACACACACACCGCCCACACACACATATTTGTATGCTCTCACGTGTTGCTGCAGTGAAGGCACCCCGCACACACAACCGTCGCCGCTTGACCGGATCGAGCGGAAGGAGGAGGGAAGGAGGAGAGAGTGAGCCGCAGAGGCCCAACATGTCCCGGCGTGTGTTCTATTCCGCGGTGCTCCTCCTCCTCCTCCTCGTGATGTGGATGTGCTGCGGCCCCTGTGAGGCTGCGGCCGCATCGACGGGTGAGAATTCAGTGAATGCGCGGCTGCCACGGAGATTTGATCTATTTGTGCCGCAGACGACGGTGTTGCTGCCGAGAGGTGGAGTTAATTCGGAAAAGAAGTGGAATTCATTTGCTTCACCCTCTCTTGTCAGTGCTGGTGGCGTAATTGCTGCCTTCGCCGAAGGTCACCCGAGCTCCAAAGAATCCAATAACGCATCAAGTGAGCCCTCTTCTGATGCAGTTGCTTGGTACATTGACTCTGCGTGGGATTGGTCCACCCTTGTTGCTGAGGTCAAAAAAAGTACATGGCAGGCACACACCGTGCTCGGTAAAGCGGATGGAACGGAGCGTTTTGATGTTGTGCTCCGCCCCACAACCACCACGAAGGACAATAAGGTGTTTCTTCTTGCGGGAAGCTCTGATGCGTCCAATGTAAATGAGAGTTGGAGTCATGGCGGCTTGAAACTGAAACTAGTTGTGGGTGATGTCAGGAAGCCTACGGACAGCGAGCAGAGTGGATGGATCAATTGGGGCGAAGTCCAATCACCGTTGAACGAGACCACTGGAGCTGTTCAAGGAAGAAAATTGACGGGGTTTGTTGCTTCTGGTGGCGCAGGTGTTTTGATGGAGGATGGCACGCTTGTGTTTTCTCTGATGGCGAAGAGTGAAGAAGAAGACGTTTACTCCATGATCATTTATTCGAAGGACAACGGCAGTACCTGGGCGCTCTCAAACAGTGTTTCTTCTGCGAAATGCGTTAACCCCCGCATCACCGAGTGGGAGGGAAAGCTTCTCATGATTGTTGACTGCGAGAGTGGCCAGAGGGTGTACGAGTCGCGAGACATGGGGAGATCGTGGACGGAGGCCATCGGGGGGCTATTGGGCATTTGGGTCAAGTCACAATCGGGAGCCTCTCAGGATTTAAGCCTGCATGTGGAGGCCCTCATCACCGCGGCCATTGAGGGAAGGAAGGTCATGTTGTACACACAGAGAGGGTACGTTTCGGGGGAGAATAAGGCCACTGCGCTCTACGTTTGGGTGACGGACAACAACCGCTCGTTTCATGTTGGACCGGTTGGCATGGACAATGCTGAAAAGGAGGAGCTTGCCAGCAGCCTGCTGTACTCGGGTGGCAATCTGCATCTTTTACAGCAGAGGGACAATGGTGAAGGCAGTGTCATGTCACTTTCCCGCCTGACGGATGAACTGAGTACAATCAAGTCCGTCCTCAGTACTTGGTCGCAAAAGGACATTTTCTTCTCCAGCTTGTCTATACCCACGGCGGGTCTGGTGGCAGTTTTGTCCGGTGCGGCCAGTGATGGGAGG